GTGATAAATTCAACAGCAAAAAGCTACTGTTAGTTCGAAAGACGAGTTGTAAAATTTTAAGTGATGTAATTGGTTTTATGCTTCCATTTTTCAGCGGTAGTTTTTTTTTGACGAACTTTTGAAGAACAAAGTATGGAAACGTCAAGATGAACGAAGTGACACCATTAAACATTCCAGGACGGCAGTACTTTTTGGCCCTACTTAAATTAACGATCAATTCATCTTTCTGCCAAACAACGCCTTGTAGCCAAGTGGCACGGCCTCACCGTATCACTTGCTTTCATTTATGTCAATAGGTCACAGCTCCACGTGCAGCCCAACACCGACAACTTCAAACCTTGTACCACGCAGATTAGAAAAAACAAAACGGAAATTTTACACGTAATGTTTGCAAAATCGGTTGTCATTTATTGACTCATTTCTACACTAATATTTTATGAGTCACGTCAATCATGGAATTAAGAACGCTCACATCTAGTCACTTGCGACTGGACTCAAATGTAACGGCATTCTTATTCTACCGTTATTGTGAATCGCAACATCACATATTTTCTAAAAAGCATGAAAACTGTTGAATTCGTTTTGGATTCTTTCTGACAGCCTTTCTGAAGTAAAACGATGGATTTTGACCATGCCAGCTGAAACCAACAGACCTGTGAATTGCCGACCCCAAACTTTCTACGTGATTCCGACAAATATCTTTTTTGTCGCAATTTCAGTGCGGCTATCAGTAATTAAGAAAGGCAGTCTAGTTGTGAATGTGAAAATATAGCCGAAGTTCGAAAAAAAACTTTTAAGTACTGTCTTATAATGATCCAGCTCCTGTTAGCCCTCCTACTAGTCAAAATCACTTGGAACACATGTTTGCATTTGCTGACCTCCTTGCCCACAAATCTGCCATTACTGTTGTTGGCTTCGTTGAATAAGACCTGAATATCACAGAAACCCAGAATATGATTTTCGACGGTCCAGGAATCAGTTCCTTGTACTAAAAGTATCGACAGTCAGAGAATCAAAGGACAACACTAACCAAAGATGTGCCGCTGATTCCGTGGGGCGTAAAATCAGTCCAATCTATTTCACACACAAGAATAAATTTGAAAACTGATTTGAGAATGCAGCGTGAAACGAAGTTCGGTTACGGTATGACCGAAGAGCAGTTTTACTACAAAGAACTTTCATCCACCTCGAGCATAACCATAGCGAGCAGAATCCTTATCATTCATTGCGAGCATAGCCACTAATGATTTGACGTTACAGATGTAGCAAATTACACCTGGGTGACGACTGCTCCGCCGTACATTTAGTCTCAGTAATAAGATCTTACTCGTTGTTTCAGTGTAATAGGAACATATTTCTAAGTAAACTTATGAGAACTTATGAGAGTTTGCATTAAACAACGTTTGACCGGCATATCTGTCATGTGTTTCCCATAATATAATGGATCCTGCGTTTACAACATGTTAGGAAGCAGCAACTACCGGCTTCATTTTACATTCTTTCGCCTTTTAATCCGTTCGTATTCCACGTTCCAGGCACTGCCGATATGACGCGTGTAAATAGTTCCAATGAAGTGAATGCACGATTCTGGTATTTGTGTGACTGCACACCTTCATGCTCGATTTTCAATTTAACAGTGAAAACTAGATCCAAGAAGCGAAAGTCTACAATTTTATTCGTTAAAACTTTTATAAAATGGAAAAATGCACAATAAAATAAAATAAGCCAAATAAAAAAATACCCTGAATGAAGTAAAAATGTGAGATCATCAAAGTATTGGGACAAGGACGCTAGAAACATCACCGTTAGAAACATTGAGGCAGTTATCGACTGTCCGGAGTATTAATTTCAGGCGACGATCGATTGCCGCATAATGTTTCATGCCAAGATGTAGTGAAACCGAATCCTGAGATAAAGAAGCCCGTAAAGCTGAAGACATACTGACAGGGCCTGTGTAAAAGTCAATCAGCCGCTTCAAAGTAGACGGTCGAATGATGCAACACTGTGCGAGAGGGGCCAAAATATCCAGATCATCCGTATCGGGAGATCCAAACCTGAAACATTTATAAACATAAACAAATGCGTAAACACTTTAAGCAAGATGAGGACGCCTGAATGATTAAATAAAAACCCACAAATGAATTGTTCATATGGATGGATAAAAAGTACTGAACCCGTGCTATAACTGTACTGAAGGGAGTCCATCGACAAACAGCTAAATGCTTTAATCAGAAGTGAACAATGTCTGAATTACGTCCAGAAATCGCGAAAGGCTACTTCACCTATGATTTAGATGCATACTCCAATATGTGTCATCCAAATAAAATCCTCAGAATAGCTATGAATCGGATCCATAAATGAAACAGCTTCAGTAAACAGTCGCTATACGTTAGTCAGAAGAGCAGTTTCTACTCTATCGCAGCGAAGTAAAGAAATTGAGGCGGGACGATATAATACATTTTCTTCCAGTTCTAGAGAAAGCATAAGTGATTTCTAGAAGATCAAGAACTCAAAATTGTAAAATATTGCTTGCTTCTACAGGTACGGTTTGCCCCAAAGAAAGGTCATAATTAGCTGGTTTGTTGACTCAGAACGTTTCAAAATGTCGAATTCCATTTGCCTCCGGCATAAACGAATCGCTAGATATACGGACAACACGGCTGCTTGATCACTGACCATCTGCAGTGCTTGATGACCTTTTTATTTACGTCTACACTTTGTGATGACCAATAGTCAGGTGTAAGGTAGGTCAAGACGAACTACAGCCGTAAAACGCACGATCGGACAGCATAGCTGTCTCTCGCGCTTTGGTACGACTACACGAAAGAAATATGCTGTCCTTATTATTCGCAGGTCAACAACCTGCTGCTTTTTTTTGGCTGGTTGCACCGAAACACAATGGGGTGAACTCTTTGTCAAAGGGAATTAACAGTTAATAGAAAAAAAAATTCAAGCGAGGGTTGCGTTTGAATATGCACTTTAACGTGCAAAGCAACCTAGTAACCTACTCCACCACTGCCGCCAATATTGGATTATTTTGCGCACTAGAGCAACACCTCATTCGTCACAACACACGTTTCAGGAACTGGTATTCTCTTAGTTAGTGCTGTAGACGACATATCGATACGAGAATATCTACCACCGCAGATATTCAAGGTTGAAGTGGTCGGATATGAGAACCAAGGAATTATGTAATACGTCGTGAAATCTGGTCTTGCAGCAGTGATGTATTATTTAACTTAGTTTGGCGAATGATCCGATATTCGTGTTAATAAACTTGTAACGAGAGATTATACACGGTGGAGTGTAACAAACCGATGTTGGTGTCTGTTTTAGAAAAAAGCCTAAGCGGCTTGTTTGGCTCACGACGCTCATGCCTGACGAAAATACTTAAAATACAGACAGTCACATTTGCCTATCCAGATTCGACAAGCGACTAAATACCAGATGCAGAGAACAATATGCACTAGACTAATTGGAAAAATAATGTATGAAGTTAACTATTAAAACCAAAACGTTCTTTTGACATTACCCTTTTCCATTATCTATATGAAGAAACGCTGAACTGTCACCGAATTTTTGCAAATAGTCATAATGATGTCGATCCTGATTACCTAAATTAATAATATGACACGTGAAGCACACAGCAGCATATTGCACCTATAAGAAAATCAAAGATAGACATGTCGACCAGATCAAGTAATCGACGGCCGGATCTGAAACGATAAGAATGCCTTACACTTTTCTCACAGTAATTCGCATAAAGCTGCCATTCAGCTTTTTGGCGTTTCCTCGAATAGGTCCTTAAAATGTATGTTCTCGAGAGAGTCACTGAAAATACACGTCGCCCTACCGTCGGTATGGCGAGATAACATGACTCATGTTGAAAATGGTATCTTTCGGGAGAAATACCTGGAAAGACCCAATTTTCATGAATGGAGAGCCACATATAGCGTGCTGGGTGGCGCAATAATATTTACAAACGCCGAAAAAGCAAAGATTACCGACTAAAATAATTAGGAATATTGTAAACATAATACACACACAGATAGGTATACTTGGAGAGATGAAAAATGTTTCAGAAAGGTCATTTTCCGCCTTCGATAAGACTTCTTTCAGATCTAAAACTCGAGGAACAGTAGGAAGGGCTCTTCTGAAGCCAAGTAACCTAAATCGGTAGAAAAATGTAAACACAATGACATTATGATTGCTGCTGAAGTATTTGCTGATGTTGACCTCTAACGAACGTACATAAGATCTTGACAGCATTTGCCTAGATCAGTAATCTGATACTCGCCGCACACATTAAGATTCAAATACAGGTTTCTTGAAGCAGTGGTTCCGCTGTAAGACATAATTACGGCTTTCTTAAAGAACTTCTTGAATTACTAGCAGGAAAGTTCCTCGCATCAGCTCTTAAGCCAAAAGAAAATTTTAAAACTTGGAAAGTTGATCTTCTATGCACTTCCATGACGACCGGTATCGAATCTATCCTTGGTGATGGAGCTTAAGACAGTACAGATCTAAGCTATGATATCGTTAGAAACAAAAGTGCTCGCTTTATGATGATTACTTATACAGGTGTGACAAGCATGCACGTAATCCCTCGTTCTTTACGAAGTGATATCAGTTTATCTTTCTCCGATGGATCAGTGAGGAGATATGCAGGTAGAACTGGAAGGCATTATCTTACGACTGTTAGTCAGGCGCTATATTACTTGAGTTACGTCAACCTGTTGTATAGGCGAAGCTAGGTTCCGAGGGCTAGTCAACAGCTGCAGACTGTGGAACAAACCCGTGTGTAAGCTGTCAAATAAACCGAGAATAAGCTGTGACAGCAGGAGCAACAGGTTGTGACAGTTCAATGATATGCGAGGCTGCAAAGCCAAAGGGTAGAATAGTGATATGGAGAGTTTGCACGTCGTTAAATAAAGATAATGCAGAACATGAACCATGAACAAACTGTCAGTTATTATTCAGTATAAAGGAATAAGGGATATTACCTGAAGAAATTGTTTAATGCACTATTACTGTTACAGTCTATTCGCTGAACCGAATATTACCCTTCATGTTAATTTCTTTATAGGTTTGAGCTTATAATTTGGGAGTACCGAAAAATTCATAAAAAACGATCATTGACACAATTGACTTTTCCTGCCTCTGACTGTTCTTTGTTCCAAGTTCTGCTCTTACCTACTCCTTTTCGCATTCGGATTATTAGGCACATTTACAGTAGTCTCATTTGCATATGACTTTTCAGAACTTAAATTTGTTTACATACTGAAGATAGTTTTCCGTGAGCATTCGTAAATAAAGTCTTCGTCTTTTGTTAAAAATAATGAATTTTAAACTTTTACCTGTCCAAATGAAATCCTGCAATTTCAGAGTTATACCGTTCAAAATGAGTAAAATAAAACTGATTGGGGTCTGATTCCTGATCCGGATGTAACCTAAAAATTCAATGGGTAAGAAGTCTGCATCAATCAGCTTTTACCTCATAGGTTTGAAAACGACTTCGCCCCCGTTTTCTAGGGTTATGCGCAATTTGATCTGTGTTCCGCCTCTCATTAGACTAACATTTTGAATCGGTAACTGACGCATGTCTCGAAGTACGTCGTTCAGTGCTGTCCCGTCTTGATAAACACGACAGTTGCCAATGTTGAGGTAGAATTGACTCCAGGGATAACGTTGGGAAAATGATAACCTGTATACAGTACACAGGTATAGAATTTGAACTAGAAAACAGAACTGCACGAGAACAGCAGAAGCATTCATCAGAATTTTATTTTGTACGTGTCATGTTTACAAAACACGACATTTACGCAATGCCCTGTGATTTGAGAGGTCTAAAGGATTCATAAGCACACCGCTTACGATTCGAACAACCAACAAAAGAAACCGCCACAAAAGGAGTTGCTTTGCAGAGGCATCAGAGAATTTAGTGATCCAGTCGTGAAACAACGCAATCATCAGCCATCTGTGATCCAGTGCTGGAAGAAGGCCTCTCCAAACTTTGCCATAAATTTCTGCTTTCCGCAATTCTTATTTATTTTAATCCAACGAACTTCTTCGGCTAATCCTGCCTTTGATCTTAAAGTCATCCTAGGGGTTGTTTACTCTCTTACAATCAAATCTTGTCTCACTGGTCCAGCGATGGTCGGTTCTTCTTGGAAAGTGCCCTGCGGACTGCCACTTCAGAATCATTACTAGTGCAGTAATAACTAAGCTCATCGATCGGTTAACATGCATATTTCCTTCTGTAGAACAGAACCGCAGCTTATGTTGTTATTTACCAAAAATAGACACGTTAAAGTAAAGTATCAGTTACAAACAAACAGCATTTGAAGACAGCAAATAAACATATACAACCCATAAAAGATGACCTTACCGCTGTGCATCGGAAAGAGTCTCACCAATGGCTACGCTTTTAGGGCATTCTGAGTCAAAGTCAAACGAAGCCCATGGTAAATTAGTGATTCTCTGAAATTCATCCTGGCTTCGAATTTCATTATATAAATGCAGTGGAGACTGGAATGCTTCTTCTAGCAGAAACGAGTAAATGAGAGTCCGTTTTAAAAAATAAACAATCACAAAAGCAAGCAAAATGCAGAATGCGAAGTAAAGCTTCTTTCGTTTCCTGTATACCATTCTGCATACCAAAATGCGGGATACTAGCTTCAAAATGACGGAGTTGAGAAAACTAAAAAATGTTCGATGTATATTAACAAGATTACTTACAAAAGTTTAACAATGATAGAAAGCTGATCACTGCTTATACATAAAATATTATCTTTATTAAAAATGACAACGTGGATTTACTGACAGAAAATGAAGAACGGTAAGAAGCGGAAAATTCTAACCAACTCCACAATATGTGTTCCTGGTCGCCATTTAGGCAATAAATAATTTCATGGAATTTGAACACCTGCCGTAAATACAGCTATTTTGCATCACTTTATTCATTAAAGTGATATGATGTTCGGGCATCCAGACATTTGAAGGCGAATAAACATTACTCACTGCTAATATGTCGCTTTCGATGAGTAAGATGCAAAACTAGCTAAAAAACAATACATGTCTTTCGACACTGCAGATGCTTTTACCTGCCTTACTTTACGTAAACAGGTACCATTCTTTCTCAGGAAGTAGTCACACTGAAAGTAACAAATTTTCGAATCCTTTTACAAACGCAGTTAATAGTCATCTGTAAAAAATCTAGAACACTTCGATGGATTTTCGTTGATGGTAAAAATTTAACATCAAAATTTACAACTCAGCTTAAGATTGACAAACAGTAGCCTGCCAAACAACCGAATTTTGCGACTCTGTAGCATTTGGGCGTTTTATCACATTAAATCTAGGTGTTCTTCGAAGATGATAAATCTCCATTGAAGTCACTTTTTCCTGGAGGATAAAATACAACTAGGTCACTGAATGAGGAGCCTGTTACAACTCTAAGCTATTTAGAGTAATACACAAAGGGGAATGGCTGACATCAAGCAGTTCCTGACCTAAATACAGAAGCAGTTCTACTAGTTCTGACAGGATGAGGTCGTATTCTTCAC